ATACCCAGTGTTTTGAACTCTGCATCTGATAGATTGCTTATCTCCATTTTGTTTCATTCTTTTTCTGGAGTTTTGATCTGTTCCTTTGTCTCATCATTTGGACAGCCTCCCTGTGTTTGTTTCTATGTATTAGATAGAGCTGCTTTGACTCTGTGTCTTGGTAGTGAGGCCTAATGTAGTAGGCATCTGTAGGGTCCAGTGGCACAGCCTCCCCTATCACCCAAGTTGGGTACTTGAGGTGTGCCCTTCATGTGGACTTAGTACACCCTCCTCTTGTAGTTGAGCCTTGGTTGCTGTTGGCAGATCAATGGGAGGGATTTACCTAGGCCAGTCAGCTGCAAAGATTGGCTGTGACTACTTACCACCAACCCCCATCCTCCATGGAGTATCAGCTCTGCAGGGACAGGGTGGTGGTGCTCGTATGTGGTCTGTAGCTGTCCACTGGGTGCACTGGACCTGGGGTTTCCTGGGTGGTACAGGCCAAGTTCAGCCCTCACCTGTGTTTTGCCTGGGGCACCCTGACTGAGCTAAAAAGCAATTTGAGATGGCTGCTACTTGTGCTGAGCTTGGAGATTTCCAGGCAAAGCCAAGCTGTGGTTCTAGACTGGCTGCTGCTAGTGCTGAGCCTGCAGCTCACTGAGGCCAGCTGTTGCTTGTTTGAGAGGATTTAGGAAGTAGTGAAGCAGGAGCCAAGATCAGCCAGCCATTTATATGGAAGAGCAGCTTGGGTGGGTCCACAAGTTGGGTGGGGAATCTCCAAAGCAGGTCTTATAGTATTAGCCAGGTTGATGGAATCTTAGATATGGCACCAGCTCACTGGCTTTTTGTGGGGAAGGTTTAGAAAGGGAACAATGGCCTTTGTTCACCTGATGCCAGATACTTCAGTTCCTCCCTTTCTGCTGCTCTTGCCTTTCAAGCTGCTACCCTAGTGCTGGAGCTCAGAGAGAATGAGTCTGAGTAGGTGAATCCATGTGTGGGTTCTTTAAGAGGAACTGCCTGGGGCTCCAGAAATTTCTTCCACTGACTCAATCTCTGCTGGTTTTTGCAGCCAGATGTTGTGGAGACTTACTTTCCTGGTACTGGAACCCTGGACTGGAAGGGCCTATTGTGGGGCTGGGATTCCTCACTCCTGAGATGTCCCTCCTGGATTTTTATCCACCACGTTAGTGTGGGACCAGCCTGTTCCATGTCTGTGCCCCTCCTACTAGTCTGGATGGATGTGGTATCTTTAATTCTGTAGTTGTCAGACATCTAGTCAACTTGATTTCTGACGGTTCTGAGTGATGGTTATTCTATATTTTAGTCATAATTTTGATGTGGTTGTATAAAGAGGGGAGCCATGTCTGTCTACGCCATTATCTTGATCAGAAGTCTAAAAGAACTTTTTGGCCAACCTAATATATCACCTAGGGGACCCCATAGGCTTAAAGGCGGGGGCGGGGGCTATTTCCCCAAATAAACTGGGAGGCTGTTACCAGAAAATCATGGATGGACTCTGGGCAGGCAAAGTGTTCTCTTCAAAGTTTGCAACTCTTTGAGTCCACTGGAAAGTAAAGAATGACCCCTACCCCCAGGATGGTTTAGTCTTGAAGATTAGAGGCCACTGGATAGGAGACATGGATGTTGAACCCTTAGGGCAACCTGAGAACGAAGAGATGTCCACACCGGGAGGGGCAAGGCATAAAAGCAGAAACATCTGCCATTGCATCTCGACTCCATGCCAGCGCCGACAATGCTAGCCACACATCAGAATCTTAAGAGACCAATTAGTGCTTTTCATGCACCAATGAAAAGCAGAGGAATTGTCTTAGGTTAAAAGTGACTTAAAAACCACAACAATCAAATGTAGTACGCAAAGATTGATTGCATCCTTGTTCAAAATGAACTGTTATAAATATTTCAGAGGCAACTGGAGAAACTTAATAAAAATATTTTATTTTTGCTCATCTCACAGGGAAAAATATCTCAATGGATTTTTAATTTGCATTTTCTTATTAGAAGGTTGAGCAACTTTTCAAATGCCTAAGAAACATTTGTATTTCCTTTTCTATTAACTTTCTGAGTAGCCTTTGCCCATTTTTTAATATTGGGTTAGTAGTCTTTTTCTTTTTAATTTCTAGGAATTCTTTATATATTAAGGAAATTAGTTCTTTGTGATGTGTTTCTGCACATATGCTTCAATGTTTCTTTCGTTCATAATGGTTTTTTGGATCCGATTTTGAGTCTTGCCTGCAAGTTGGGGAGACGCCGATCCCACCTGGCTTCCAGACACACTGTATTTGTTTGAGTGGCCAAAGCCTCCAGTGCTGGCCCTTTTTCTGCACACAGGGCACAGACTGGATCAGTGCCCTGTGGGCAGAAAGGATCAGTGAACGCTTTCTGAAGGAGGTCACAAATGAGTCGGACCTCATGTTAGGCTGGGGAAGAGAGCAGGTAGAAACATTGCAGAACAAAGTCAGGTAAAGGGAGGGACTATATTTGGGGACTGTGGTGAAAATCAACCAATGTGTATAAAATAGCCCACTAAATGTCCATTGACTTAGGACCATGGAGGCTTTTGGTGACTTAAGAAATCACAAAATCCAGGGAGCGGGGGGTGGGGGGCAGCACCTGGATTGCAGGGTTGAGGAGTGAGACTTAAGAGGAGACAACAAGCATAGACACCACCATTGACAAGTCATCTATGCAGAATGAGGAAAATAGAAATCAGCCAGGAAGAGGCGAGAGTGTCTTAGAGCTGATTTATTATGATGATGATTTTCAGATGGGAGAAACTCAGGGATGTTTATGTGCTGATGGGAAGAAAACAAATAAGGAGAAATTGGAAGTCAGAAGAGAGATGCCAGAGTGGAGCATACCTAGCTCTTCAGGGAACATGGAAGCCAGAGTGCAGCAGAAAAATTGGAAACTGGGCCGACAAAATGGATAGTATTTATAAGAGAAAAACCTGAAGTCCCATGCAGAGAAATAGAATCCAGCTGGGGATTCAAAACTAATTGTAGGAGTGCGAAGATGGGTGAGCAAGAGAATAGCTAGGGTATCTGCCACAACCTGGCAGGTAAACTAAGCCAGAGCCTTTGGTTAAAGTGTCAAGAGACTCCTGACTCTGTCTTTCAAATGACATGTAACCTTGTTCAAAGGACCCAACCTCTCTCTGTGCCTCAGTTTGTTCATTCACAAAAAGTGGTAATCATAGTACCCAACACATAGGGTAGCTTTGAGAATACATGCTTGGCATATAAGCATTCAGTAAGTCTATGCTCTTGCTGCCATTTTTATCCTATTATTGGAGAGGCAGTATATACAGTAGAGTGGTTAAGAACAGAGGTCATGCCCTGGCCCAGTGGCTTGCTTGGTTAGAGTGTCATCCTGATGCTCTAGGATTACAGGTTTGATTCCCAGTCTAGGTACATACAGGAATTAACCAATGAATGCATAAATAAGTGGAACAACAAATCAATGTTTCTATTTATCTATCTACCTCTTCCTCTACTTTTCTCTCTAAAAATCTTCTTTTTCTTGTTCTTCTTCTTCTTCTTCTTTTTTTTAAAGAGAAAGAACACAGGTCATGAAATCAGAACCCCTGGGGTCAAAACCTGTCTCTGCTACTTACCAGCCATGTGAACCTCGGCAAGCTACGTTATTTCTCCGGGCCTCAGTTTCTTTATCAGTAAGAGGCAAGATGCATAATTAGTATAGTATATAGTATTTAAAATAAATGTTTAAATTATTTTAAATATTCACTATTTTTAAGAAATTTATTATATAAAATAACAAATTAGGTGACACTATATTAAAATATCAATTGTATCATATTATATTGCATATTATATTAATATACTATGTCATATATTATCCAGAGGATTTTTTTTTCTTTAAAGATCCCTTTTAGGAAAGTGTTTACTATGGAAATTTTCAAGCGTCACAAGAGAGAGAATAGGGTTATGAAACCCCTTTATGGTTACAAATATTTTGCCATTCTTGTTTTCATCCTTTCCTGCCACTCTTTGTTTTAGTCATGCTGGGAGATGTTAAAGCAAATCCCAGACCTTATTCCTCTAGCAAAGTCTTAGATATGTATTTCTGATACAGACTCCAGCAGGATTCACAGTGGTTTCTGAGCACCCCCTTGACTCCTGGGCTGTAGCCCAAATCCAAGCCCCTAACTCGCCTCCCCTCTCCGCAGATGAACGGCCCAGGTGTGCGGGGTTGTGGCCGCACGCTGGGCAGAGGGCTATCATGGAGGGGGTCCCACGTTCCAGGTGTTGGTGGAGCCCGAGGGGCTCCTGCCCTGCGGGCCTCCCCCAAGGTAGGAGGACGCCTCCTGGCAGCCTGCGAGGACTACAACGGAATTGCAACCACGACTTGATACTCCCAGCACTTCGGGGTGCCAACCTAGTTGAAGGGCTCCAGGCGTGCTAGGGTTTCGACAGCTGGTGAGGACTCTCCCCCAGCTCGCCTAGAAGGCGCTGCGGCCATCCCAACTCGGTGTGCCATGGGCTGCCTTTGGGGACTTGGAGCCCCCACCCTCTCTCTGCTTGTCTTCCCATACCACGGAGAAGCGTGTCCTGCCCCCTGTGACCCAACACTTCACTGTGTGACCACGTTTCTCTGCACTTCTTGAAGGCTGGGAACGCTGACACACACCTGCCTTGAGGGTGGGGTCGCACCAACCTTCCCGAGATTGTTTTAATAAACGAAAAAAAAAAAAGTGTTAGTGCCTATCTTCTTTCTACCAGTGCCCCACGCACCCAGAAGGGACGATGGACAAGTGTCTCAACCTCTGGCTCCCTCCTCTCCTAGGACGCAGGAGTTAGGTCAGAACCGCCATTCGCCTAATCCCTCCCACTTCTCCGAATTCCCAGAACTGCAGTTCCGTCAAGGACACAGATTCCCTATGGGAAGGGCCAGCGAACCAGCAGCTCCGCCCCTTACTCGTAACACTGTGATGGAACCGCAACGATAGCCAATGGGGAGCGACACCACCGGATAACAAGAGGTTGGAGGTGGAGGTTTTGGAGACTGGAGCGGAAGTGACTGTTTTCTTGCGTCCTCGTTTTTCCCAATTGTGCTGCCGCCGCTCCAACTGTTCTGGGCTATTCCCTACGCGCACCAGCGACCAAGTTGTACCATGAGCCGGCCCAGCCGGCTGCAGAGGCAAGTTCTTAGCCTGTACCGTGAGCTGCTGCGCGCCGGGCGCGGGAAGCCGGGAGCTGAGGCGCGGGTGCGGGCGGAGTTCCGGCAGCATGCCTCTCTGCCACGCTCCGACGTACTGCGCATCGAATATCTCTACCGCCGTGGGAGGCGCCAGCTCCAATTGCTGCGCTCAGGCCACGCCACAGCCCTAGGCGCTTTTGTGCGCCCACGGGAAGCGATCGAGGAGCCCCGCCGTGCGGGGGCCGCTGGAACCTTCCCTGAGGATGGTGATGATACGAGGAGCCCGCTTAACAGCATGAGGTCACCGGAGACCCCGCCGGATAGACGGTGACAGGCTGAAGAGTTCACCCGATGATGAGGGGCCGGGATTGGGGCTGGGGAACCAGGGAACCCACCTGATGGAACATGAGACCTCTTAAGAGACAAGACTAGCTCGATGGATTAGGGGAATCAGAGTCCTCCTGGCAACGTAGGATCCAAAGACCACCATGATAGATGGCGAGAGATGCTTGACCTTGTTCGAGCCTTGGTAATTTGTCGGGCCTCCTAATGGGAGCTTGAGGCGGCCTGGGTCCCTAGCTGGCTGGACAATGTCAAGCTGAGAGCTATTTGCTCAAAGGCATGGGAAGCCAGGACGCCCACCACCCCCTTGGACGGAAAAAGACTGAAACACCCTTCTCTTGATCCCTTGCTCCTGAACTCTCTTTGTATTTAACTCTGATAACAGCAGAATTTTTTTTGCTGAGGTATTTAAGAAGATGCTCTGATGGGCTGTGAGAAGCCTCGACTCCTCCTTTGGAAAACTTTGCATCTATTAATTGGAACAAACCAGGACTGATGAAGGGGCTAAGCTGTCTCATCGCAGCGATCATTTAAAGACCCCTCAAAACCTCTGCACCTACTGGTTCTAAGGGAGAGCCCTGATTCCTCCACCCTTCCACCCTATGGACTGTTGAACAAAAGGAATAAAGTTGGGATGTGCTTCCCTGTTGGTGGTCTTAAAAGATTTTTTGTGTTTGGGGATGTTTGATGACACCCTTACTCTCCAAGAAGTGACCTTCGCCCTCGCTGTTGTGGCTCAATTGGTTGGGCTTCACGCTGCAAAGCATTGGATTCCCAGTCCGGGCACATGCCTACGTTTTGGTTCGGTCTCTGGCTGAGGTGGGTACAAGAGGCAACCGATTGATGTTTCACATAGATGTTTCTGTCCCTCTTTTTCTTCCTTCCTCTCTCTCTAAAAATAAATTTAAAAATATTTTTAAAAATAAAATTAATTTCTCCTGCTTCTGTTTAACTGTGACAACTAGAAAACTTAAAATTATATTTTTAAATTATATTTTATTGATTATGCTATCATGTGTCCCCATTTTTACCTCTTTGCCACCCTCCACCCAGCCCCCCTCTACTCCCTCAGGCAATCCCCACACTATTGTCCATGTCTATGGGTCATGCAGATGTATTCTTTGGCTATTCTGTTTCCTGTGCTGTACTTTACATCCCCATGAGTATTTTGTAAATACCAATTTGTGCTTAATACCTTCTCCTTTTTCACCTATCCTCCTGACCCCACTTGCATCTGGCAACCATCAAAATGTTCCCTGTATCCATGATTCTGTTTCTGTTCTGCTTGTTTATTTTAAGATTCAATTGTTGATAGATATGTATTTTTGGCCATTTTATTCATATTTTTGATCTTATAATTTCATATAATTCTGGTTTGGTGGTGATGTACAGTTTTAGCTTTTTCTTGTCTGGGAAGCTCTTTATCCTTCAATTCTAAGTGATAGCTTTGCTGAGTAGAATAATTTTGGTTGTAGGTCCCTGCTTTTCATCACTTTGAATATTTCTTGCCAATGCTTTATAGCCTGCAAAGTTTCTTTTGAGAAATCAGCTGACAGTCTTATGGGAGCTCCCTTCTAGGTAACTGTCTCTCTCTTGCTGCTTTTAAGATTCTTTCTCTTTTACCTTTGACATTTTAATTATGACGTGTTATTTAATTATGGTGTGGGCTTCTTTGGGTTCATCTTGTCTGGGACTCTCATTACGTCCTGGACTTGTATGTCTATTTCCTTCACCAAGTTAAAGAAGTTTTTTGTCATTTTTTCAAACAGGTTTCCAATTTCTTGCTCTCTCTCTTCTCTTTCTGACATCACCATTATGCGAATGTTGGTATGCTTGAAGTCCCCAGAGGCTCCTTACACTATCCTCATTTTTCTTTTTTAATTCTTTTTCTTCTTGCTGATCTGATTAGGTGTTTTTGTTTTTTTTTTTTTCTTTTTTATATTCCAAATCACTGACTTGATTCTTGGCTTCATCCACTCTACTGTTGATTCCCTGTAAAGTGTTATTTTAATTAGTGTATTCTTCATTTCTGACTGGTTCTTTTTTTATGGTTTCCATGCCCTTTTTTGTGCTGTTGAAGTTCTCACTAAGTTCACTGAGCATCCTTATAACTAGTGTTTTAGACTCTGCATCTAGTAGCTTGCATGTTTCCATTTTGTTTAGTTCTTTTTCTGGAGCTTTATTTTGTTCTTTCATTTGGTCCATGTTTCTTTGTCTCCTCATGTTGGCATCCTGCTTGTGTTTGTTTCTGTGTATTAGGTAGAGCTGCTATGTTGCCCAGGCTTGGTAGAGTTGCCTAATGTAATAGGTGTCCTGTAGGATCCGGTGGCACAGCCTACCCTGTTACCCAAGCTGGGTACTCAAGGTGTGCCCACTGTGTGGGCTGCGCACACCCTCCTGTTGTAGTTGAGCCTTGATTGCTATTGGCACATCCAAGGTCAGCCATTGCTTGTGTTCTGTTCAGGGTCACACAAAGTGATCTGCAGATGGCTGTTACTTGTGACTACTAGAAAATTAAAAATTATATTTGAGCCTCACATTCTATTGGACAGCACTACTCTAGGAGTCCATGTGACTTGTTTCCTCACTGACATTTGCTATAATGACATAATTGTGAAATAATGACATAACTGTCTTCCTGATGCCTCCTTCAACCAGCCTAAATTTTATCCCCTTTCCCTTTGCCCAATAGTTTTTCTTCCTAGCATTTATCACCATCTGATCTATTACATATTTCACCTATTGCTTTTATTTACTATCCATCTCCCTCACTAGGTGAGGCCCCCCCCCCCCCCCCGCAAGGACAAGAATTTTAGCCTGTCATCTTCACTGTCATTGTCCTCTTCTTTGACAGGGCCTGGCTAACTGCAGTCAATATTCAGTGAATGGATGACACCTTTGCTCCATTACCCAGCTGGTAGGGTCAATATTGCCAAAACTCTGTTCACCCTATTTGTGGTGACTCCTGGGATACTACACCTCCTCCTTTGTTGGGGATAGAGACTTTGCCTGTATTGGAAACAGGAAAGACCCAGGTTTGCATCCTGACTTCCCCCTGAACCTGGAGTCTCCCAGAACCTGCTGCTTCCTTACCTTCTTCCCTCAGTGTCCATCCCCCTCTAAAGTAACAGCTTCTTGATTTTATTCAGAGACCCATTCCTTTCTCAATTTCAGTACACATTTTGGGCAAGGCTGACTACAGCCCCCAGGAAAGCATATGACACTTTGGAATTGTAAGGGAAGAGTGACTCTCCCATTGGCTGCCAAATTGGTGGGATGTATGCTTGGAGGTTTTGAGGGATACTCTGGCCACCACCCAATAAGAAGGGAGTCAGATCAGAGGTAGGAACTGAGAGATGAAGTTATCATTTGAGCTACTGGATCCAGCTGTTTTTGCAGTCCCTAACTTTTCACCAAAAAATGAATTCCCATTTTTCTTGAAATCAGTGGGGATTGGGCTTCAGTCACTTGCTCCTGTGTGTCCTCAGGCCAGTGACTGTCCTCAGCCTCAGTCCTCTAGAGGCTTAGTTTCCCATTCTGTTAAGTGGGGACATATTGTTGGGTGGCTGTGAGAATTAAAGGAGAGGATCTGTCTTAAGTGCACACCCAGGAGCCTGGCACAAGATTCCTGCCTCTGTTTTTGAGTCTAATTCTGTTCTATCTCTTGTCCCAACACTTTAAGCTCTGGGAAGTATTTGATCTTAGGCACCTGAAGCTGGGTGCTAGAATCCAGGACTGAGCCCTGGAAATTCCTCTTGGTGTCATCAAGACCCAGAGAAGTGGGGTTTCACAGTCCTGCACCAATTACAACCCAGCCTGGGAGATCACCATATAGAATGTTTCAACAGAACATGTGTGTGTATGCAGGTCAGGAGCTATAGCAGGTGCTGTCGGCAGCTTGCTTATGTCACAAGCACCCTTTCTGTACATACCTGTAGCTTCCTGTGGCAAGTGATTATGCTTCTCTGTCTGAGAGGACTTTTACAGACAAAAGAAGCTGGAAGTTCTGGGAAGCTGACAGCTTCAGGAACCAATGAGAGTTGGGTAGAACAACGTTGAGTGTGTTCCACACAGTATCCTAGAAGTTCCTAGGGGTATGGCATCCCAGGTGCCCAGAGCAGCAACCAGTTTAACTCCATTCCCTGGCTCACTTTTCCACTCCCCTACCAATCTGCCTAGGATCACCTAAATAAACTACCTGTGTTTGACTCTTTGTCTCAAGGTTTCATGTGTTGATTCAGTTCTGCATTCTGTGCTCAGTGCAAAGGGATATGTGGAGGGGGCTGTCCAGACATACCAGGGCCATATCCTAGATTCTGAGTACTGAGGCACCCAATATCCTCACATTCTGCTACAAACATGTTAATGTCCCCTTGAAATTCATACGTTGAAATCGTAACCCCCTATGTGATGATATTAAGTGAGGCCTCTGGGAGGTTATTAGGTCTGAGGGTATAGCCTCATGGAAATGACTAGTGGCCTTAATCTCTCATAAGACCCCCAAAGAGCTCCCTTTTCCTTCTACCATGTAAGACCACAGCAAGAAGATGGCCATCTATGAGAGAGGAAGCAGGCCCTAACCAGATACTGAATCTGTCAACACTTTAATCTTGGACTTTTCAACCTACAAAACAGAAATAAATTTCTATTGTTTATAAAGTCATGCAGTCTGTGTTGTTTTGTTACAGCAGCCCAGATGGACTAACACATCCTTTGACAGGTGACCATTTATTACATATGTCTGGGCTGTGTACTCAGACTGGGGGAGGGCCATTAACATAGCTGAGCACCAAGTAAGGTGTCCTGGCAAGTCGGGCAGGAGAACAGCAGAGGCCCCCCAACTGGGGCAGGAGCAACGTGGCACCCACCAGGAGAAGGAAGAGGAGAAGGAGGAGGTAGGTCAGGGGCCTCCTGGACATAGAAGCAGGGCCTCTGTGAAGGGAAATACAGTGTTAAATATACATTGGGTTGCCATCATGAGCCCTGCCCCCGACACCCCCAAACCCATCTCCCAGGCATCTCACCCAGAATCTACCTCCAGCATCACATCCTGGAGATTGGAAGATGCTTGCTTCTTGTTCTAAGGGTAGATAGCAGCCAACAGCAGAATGGGTGGAAGTGACTTTCAGTGTGGATTTTCCCTTACTGCTATAGACCTACAGGGCTGGGCTTATTTCTCCTTTCCTGGTACTTCATCAATCCCCAGGACCTCTCATTGGCCTGAACTGTCTCTAAGTGTAGTGGATGTCAATCTTTGCCTGTTCTCCAGCCAATTCCTCTTTTCTTGGTAACAAAGGCACAATTTGGTGTGTGGGGGGATGTCACACCTCCCCACTCTACTAACCAGACATCTCCACTTTTATGATTGAGCACGTGACCTAGATATGGCCAGTCTTCCAACAGCTTGGCCGCTGGGATTGGTTCAGAGTGTAGGCCAAGACCCAAGGGTGGGGGGAGTGTTGAGGAGAATGGAATCAGCCCTGGAACTTGGCTAGTAGGTCAGTGGCAGTCTCCTTCTCTTGGGGTGGGTAAACCAGTAGAAAGTGAGTAGCTGCTGGGGCAGCCATTTTGCTGAAAAGAAATTGACCTTGGGGAATTAGAGTCAAGAGGGAACGACTAAGCCCTGACAGCATATGAGGTCCTGAATTCAACAGCAACTGGTCTTTTCAGTTACATGTAAAAATAGCATCCCCTCTTTCATGTAATTCAGTCTGAGTGGGGTTTCTGTCACTTACCATCAAGATTCCCAAGTGGTATACCTGACTGAGAACCAGCTCACCTGAGACTTCTGGAGCAGGGAGCATCTTTGGTGACCTGCTAAGTGTTTCTGGTGGCTGAGACCCAACATGAGGACATCCTGTGGAGAGAGGTGAGGGGGCTTTGGGAGAACCAGTGACAAAGAGGCACAAGATTGAGGAAGGGCTAAGATAGGGGGGTGTCATAGAGATGAGATGCTGGAGGAAGAGAAGGATCATGGGAAGAGACAAAGAAGGGCAGAGCCAAAGAAACTGAGAGGAGAAACATTATTCATTCATTCATTCAACAAATATTTAATGAGTGTCTATTACATGCCAGACAGTATTTCAGGAGCTGGGGACACAGTGGCAATGCAAACAGGTAAAGCCCTGGTGTCCACGGAGCTTTTATTCTACCAGAAGAGAGACCATAAATTATTGGGTTGGCCAAAAAATTCATTTGGTTTTTTTCCATAAGATGGTTCTAGGAGTGCTTAGTTACCTTTAACTTCATTCAAAACAATTTTGTTAAATTGTATTTTGTCACATCAGTGTACATTAAAAAAAAAAATTGGTGAATTTTTGTGTAGCCACTTTAATACTGAAGATGGAAGAAAATACACATTTTTGGCATATTGTGCTTTATTATTTCAAGAAAGGTAAAAACACAACTGAAAAAAAGATTTGTGTAGTGTATGGAGAAGGTTCTGTGCCTGATCGAACGTGTCAAAAGTTGTTTGTGAAGATTCGTGCTGGAGATTTCTCACTGGATGATGCTCCATGGTTGGGTAGACCAGTTGAAGTTGACAGTGATCAAATCGAGACATTAATTGAGAACAATCAATGTTCTGCCATGCAGGAGATAGCTGACACACTCAAATATCTAAATCAATAAAGTTGTTGGTGAAAATTAAAAATGGGTCTTTTATTTTACTGAAAAAACTAAACAAATTTTTTGGCCAATCCAATAATAAATGTATAATGTCAAGATATGGTATCATTAGGAAATAAAGAGGATAAGTAGTGATGTGTGGAAGCCAGAGCAGGTCTCTCTAAAGAGGTGACACTTGAGGACTCGAGACTGGAATGAAGTGAGGAGGCGAGCCACATATGCATCTGGGGGCTTTGAGATGGGTGTGAATTTGGAGGCTAGTATGGCTTTAGTGGATTGAGCAAAGATGAGAGTGAGAGGAAATGAGGAAATGTGTATATAGACAGATGAGAGAGGAGAACAGAAAGAGACAGAGGAAGATAAAGAAACCAAAAGAGACGGAGGAAGGAAAACACTGAGACACCAAGAGAGAAAGAGACACTGAGAGAGACAGAGCTACCAAGACCTCTTTGAAAGGGAAGAACCCTGCTAGGAGGTGCACAGTGGGGGTGTCCCCAACCTGCTCTCACCTCAGGGCCTTGTCCCCAGCTCTGGGGGCCCCTGTGGCCACACAGCTCACAGGAAGCCCCTGGTGTCCAGGCTGTCTTTTGCCCCGAGGGCCCAAAGCCCCCAACATCCCCTGCTGGGTCCCATTCTAACTCTGCAGGAGTGGGGAGGCTACTGGGTGCCCAGGGCCCCCAGACTCCACCAGGTCCTGGCCAGTCTGAGTCCACCTCGACCTCCAAATCCTGGTCCAGTGTGATGGCCTCCTGGAACACCTGGTCAGAGGACAGAAGTCATGGGGGTTGTGAAATTGGCACCGGGGCCAGGGACCACCACAGTGAGTCATACCAGGCTATAGCTGACCAGCTGGGCCTGCAGCTGCCACAGCCGCCAGAAGATGCTGTCTCGGTGGGTTCCGAGGGCCCTCAGGACTTGCTGCAGGGATGCCGGGGCTTGAGGCTCACTCCGCTGTCCTAGCCCCTCACTGAATGCCAGCAGTGCATCCACACGCTCCGCTGCCCCGCGTAAGTCTGCCTGTAGGGCCTGGGAACACATGGCTACCACTACCCCCATACCAAACCCACGCCAAAGGAAACAGAGACCTGGGACCTGTAGTTACATACCCCACTTTCCTACCCAGACACCTAGAACATGGAATAAACCCATTTCCCATCTCAGGGATCTGGCACCCGCTCTTGAGGCCCTGCCCACCTTCCCACACCTTGGCCTCCCATTGCCCACCTGCAGCTGGACCATCTCACTCTGGGCCAATGTCCGGGGCCCCAGGCCTTGCTCTAGATCCTGCAGCTGGAGGCTCAGGCCCAGTAGGCAAAGATGCAGGCTCTCCTGCTCAGCTTCCAATACTTCCTGGCCAGAGATGGGGCTCTGGAGTACACAGGGAGCTGGATCAATGCTGGTGGGCCAACCATGACCTTGCCCCGTTTGCATAACCAGCCCTGTTGTGCAGACTCCTGCCTCCTGGATGCTTCTCTGCAACAGAGTCCATCTCTGGGTCTGTACCAAGGCTGTTTCCACCTGGAGTCCTTCTCAGTGGAGCAAAGCCTGAAGACCTCTAGTTCAAAGTCTCCAGGTTTCCAAGGCTCCTAGAAACTTGGACATGCAGGGTCTGGGGGTCTCAACAGGGAAGGGGTGATGGAGCTGGATACACCCACAAGGAATAAGGCTGCACCAGGGCCAATCATGAAATAATTGTTTCTCAGTTTGAAATACTTCTATGGTGACTGGTAAAGAATCATTTTGTGGAGTGTTCCACCCCCCACCAGGTGCCCACTTTTGCAGAATCATCACTTCATCTTCAGTGTGAGGCCAGATTCCAGGGGAAAGAGGAGGTGGGGACACAAAAAGTCTGGCTCACCTCATGGTGTTTGCCCCCAGCAGGACTGTCATGGGAAGAGGTTGTTGGTAATCTGGGGTGACCGGCACTAGGCTCAGTGCTCCTCAGGCCACCCTGGAAGTGCTCCGGAAGGTCCAAAGAGTCCTGCCCCAGTTTCTGGGCTTGATCTAGCCTGGGAGGGAGGGGACATTGACAGAACCCTGTGTGCGCCTAGGTGCCCATTATCCGCCCTAGCCTACCCGTTCCCAGTTCCCTCTCCCCCATCCCTACATGGTCATAACCATTGTACTTCTTACCCTCCAAGAGCTCCTGCTACTGCTGCCACCCCTTGAAGATCCGTTTCAAAACGCCCAGCCCCTACCTGATTCTTTCCTTTTCAGGAGCAGGGCAAATAGTGCATCCAGCAATGTCCAGTTCCCCAGGTGCTCCAGGGGGATGATCGAGGGGCTCTGAGTGGGGTCTAGGGCCCAGAGATGCGGACAGGGCCATAGCGGGGGGCCCTGGAGACAGAGAGTCAGTGAGGATCCCCAGTAAGAGCCCTTTTTTCTAGCCAGTAGTGTCTTCCCAGACATCTACAGGAGGACTCACCCAGGCCTGGGGCAGATGGAGGCCCAGGGGCAGGCTCAACTTCACCTTCCAATGAAACCTGGACCCAGGTAATTTGATGCTGGCTCAGGTGACTGTAGCACCACTTAACTCCCTAGCAGACCAGTAACTGAACTCCCCAAGCTCACCCACCACACCCAATAGGGTTCCAGATATCGCCCTGCCCCACCAAGAGTCTTGGATTCTGCTGGGTTCATCTGACCCCCTGGGCCCACACCATCTAAGATCCCAGGCTCAGTGTCCCTCAGGAACACAAGCATTAGCCCTACCCCCCAATCCAAAATCAAAGAAAGATTTTTTTTTTTTTTTGGTTGGTTTATTTGAAATGAGACCTTTTTCTTTGTGAGACCTTCTCACAAAGTTATTGGGGAAATAAATAACTCAGGGGAGCCGCCTCTGCCCCAGGGTTTCAAGGTTGCAGGGTCCCAGTTCTCCAGTCAGCAGCCCAGGAAGCCTGGCAGGTCCTGGGGCCAGGTGTCACTTGCTTAGGAGAAGGCCGGCGCGCAGCACCCGGGGCACCCGGCGGATGGTCAGCGAGATGCGGGTGCCGCGGACCAAGCAGGCCCCCGGCTGTGCTGAGGGGCAGGCAGCAGCGTTGAGTGGCAGGGAGGCGGTATCAAGCTGGTCTTCCCGGGCAGCTGCGATCCCATGGAGGAGGCGCGTGTAGGCGGTGCCCCTGAGCACCAGCAGGCTACGGGGTTCCAGCAGCAGCGAGGTGGCTGGCCGGGGAGGGAGCCGGGGCTGCGGGTCGTATTGACGGTCAGTGGGTCCCCAGAAATGGGAGGGTGGAAGAGAAGTTAGCAAACTTTGGGAATCAGGGAGGGAAGGTCAGCAAGTCCCCAGAGACAAAGGCTGAGGGGCAAGCATGGTCCCAGGGATGGAAGCTTTGGAGTAAAAAATCAGCGGACCCCTGAGCCAGGGCTTCAAGGAACGCAGAGGGGGTGGGGGTTGGGTGCGTGAATCAGCAGTTCCTTGGGAGAGGCAGGAACTAGGTTGTAGCCAGGACCTCCAAGGGGCTGGGGCTGGAACTGAGGGATCAGTGGTTGCAGGGAACTGGGTGGAACTAGATTGAGGGCTTGACAGAAGCCAGGAGGTGGGAGTATGGGAGGACAGAGTGAGGCAGAGATGATCTGGTGTAGTCTGCACGAATCTGGGGACATCCAGGATGTTTGAGGAAACCAGCACAATAGGCAGGGTATCCGGTATCCAGGAGCATGTAGCACTAGAAAGGGAAGTCCTAAGGAACTGCTGGGTCAGGTGTCCAGGGGTCTGTGAATATTGGGGTGTCAGAAAGACATCATTCAGGGACGAGGTCAGGGAAGCTGCTGTCATAAGCAGCCCTCAGAGAGGACAGTGCCAAGGAGGATCTGGGTATGCCCTATATGGCAGATCATACTACTGGAGTGGCAGGGAGGAGGTCAGTATTTGGGTGCCCTGTGTACTAGGCAGAGTCAGGATATCTGAGAGGATGTCCGGCACACCCACAAGTGAACGGTGTTGGGGCATCTGAGGAAATCAGTGACTGCTAAAGTATTGGGGAGTCCTGCCTGGGGTATGCAGACCTTGGGCTATTGGTCTACATACCCTTAAATGTGTGGGACCAAGGGATCTCTAGGGTGTCAGGCATTCCAATCAGCAGGTGGGGGTATAGGGATGTTTGTGGGTATCAAGATTTCTAGAGCACCCTGCAAGCAGATGGGTTAGGTGTCTGGGAAGATGTGGTTGCACTCCGTGGTTATCTTGCAGGCAGGTGGGATTGGGACCTCTTAGAGGATGTGGGATGTCAGAGTGCCCACAAGTGGCTGAAGCAGTGTCCCAGGGCCCACCTGCTCTGTAGGGTCATCATCCTTTGGCTGCCGCGGCTCGTAGAGGTCCAGCATGGTGTGGGAGCCCAGGCTGATGGTGCCGACGGTCGGGTAGTACAGTGGCCCGTCCTCGTGGGGCTGGGGAACGGGCACCAGGGCTGGACAGGGCAGGAGTCCACACCTCCCACCCTCTGTGGTTTAGGGGGCTCCCCAGTTAGGGACAGGGAGGTGAATGCCTGGTCGGGGTATGTGGCTGCTTAATGAGAGTGGAGGTGGGTCAACAAGATGTCCTGCCCCATGACGGATTAGAGGTCTGAGGGTTGGGGTGAGGGTATGTGGTTACCATGATGCCCTCCCCAGGCAGATACTGGTTCACAAGGACGTGGTTGGCTGGGAGACCCCCAAAAAGACTGAGGTCAGATACTCTGTCCACGTAGCGCTGGAGCCATAGAGGAAGCCGCTCACGGACCATCCCCCGGGGATGAGGGAGCCCACCTGGAGGAGGGCAATGGGGTCCTGAGAGTATCTAACCAAGGAGCCCTGACACCTCAAGCTCACAATAATAATATGCCAGGGTTTAGTAGCATGCTGACCTCCTTAGGGACACCTGACTCTTTGAAGATCACCACCCAACTTTCAAAGGTTTCCTGATGCCTCTAAACCCCCTGGACCCTTAGACACCCTCAACTTGTAAGGGAATCTCTAACCCCACAGGACCTCTACTGACCCATCACAGTCTTTCTGGCCCCTGGGACCCCTTGATCCATCAAGGCCCCCCCCCAATATTTTGACACTAACTAACCTGAGCCACCTGCCCCAGCCCACATCCTCAAATCACTCATGCCCTGAGGCAGGAACACTTACCCCAGTTCTGTAACTTCCTTCCAGAGAGTTGCGTCCACTTTGGCTTTGGGGCATTGAAGACCTGGGAGGTGGGGAGAGGGTCACTTCTTTTTCAGGGCTACCCTCTCTGATTCTCCCACCCAGGCCAACACAGCGGTCTTTACCTGAGGTGAAAATGAGTCATCTCAGTACCTGTGGGATTCTCTGCAATTGAGTGTTCCCAAGATTTTGCTGTTTGTCCTTTCCCCTGTGGAGGCTTCTGGCCCCAAAGCCCACCTCTGTCTACTGGGATGAAGAAAAGGAACCTGGGCTACACAATTGTGATCTGAATCTACTCAGGGCTCTGGCCCACATTGGGCTCTTTCAGCCCAGTGAATAGTCCACCCCCTGTAATTTCCTGGGCTATCTCAGAACAGTCTGACTTCTAGAACCTCCTCGTTCCTGTCACCTGGGGGAGGGAATGTGCTAAGTCAGGCTAACTTAGCATAGCAAAGAGTACTTTGAAAATTCTCTACTGGCAAGATCCCAAAGATCAAGAATGGGCAATCTTCAAGAAGTCCAACAAGTCTGTACTCTACTCAATAATCTCCTTTTTCCACTTATGGTTATGGGGCTAGAGTGGACTATCTAAGCCCAAAAGTCTATGCTCTCCGGCTAACTTACTCCTGGGACTCAAACTAGACAGGATTTGTTGGAGTAGCCGAGGGAAGATCTGTGCTTTATAACTAAGGCTCTGGGGCTGCATCCCAGTGCAAGAACTGAGTTTTGTAAATTCTTCTTTCCCTGAACCTTAAAAATAGCACAAGTGATCTATGCTTGGAAACCTTGTTCCCAAGATTCTTGGCCTATGCTGAGCTATTTCAGCAGAGGAAAGAGTTTACTCTGTAACATTCTGAGGACTGGCCTATCTCAACACAAAAATCTGAAAACTGCAAATTCTTCATTCCCCAAACATCAAAGGCCTGAACTGGGCTGTCTCAGTCTATATTTATAACCTCCTTTTCTCTAAGATTGCAGAATTGGGCTATCTCAGCACAGAGAGTATGGGCTCTGTAACTTCCTTATTTCTGAGGCTCTGGGCTATTCCAGCACAAGGAATCTGATCTCAGTAACATCCTTGTTTTGGAAGCTGGACTGACCTATCTCAAAACAGGAAGTTTGAGCTACATAATAATACTTCCTTTCTAAGAATCAGTTTGGTTTCCCCTAAGCTTCCTGGGAAAAGCTCTTTCTGACAGGTGCTGTAGGTACTGAGAAAGGAACAGGGAAGGTGAGGGATGGGTGCTGTGTGGCACTGTCCTTCCTACCCGAATCTTCACTATAGCCTCAGGGGCTCTTAACACAGGAACTAAGGGTTGGGGAAGCATCTGGAAAGAAGGGGAAAACGGACCAGAAGGGAATTGGGGTCACCTGTCGAAGCAAATATTCCTCCTCTTCCTTGGAGATGAAGTCAGGGACATAGTAGATTACAGGTGGTGCCTAGGATAGAGAGATCCCCTGTAGGTGGTGCCCTTTGACCTACACAGGGGCCCTAGCATCCAAGAGCAGACCCCGCCCTCTGTAGCAAGGCTTGGGATGTCCCCAGATAGGCCAGAGCCTGACATAGAGGGACCAATGTCCGTTCTGGCAGTAGGAAGTGGGGGTGAGGTAAGGGGAAGAACAAACTTGGAGGGAGCAGTCCCAGCTCACAAACCCAGGAGTCAGCCTGCCTATCCCCACTCTACCTCCCACCCTCTAGACCCCACCTTCACCCTCTGCGCCCCAAGTCCTGACAACCTGCTCCACCCTGAATGGTTCCAGGGCTGGGACCCTGGAGTCCTGATCCTCCATCGACACCAACTCCATGCACCTAGTCCTGTGGGAAGGGGAGGACATGCTGAAGTCACCAAGCCTCCTACCCTCAAGCTATGATCTTGTTTTCTGCTCTCTCATGGGTCAGGGTCTCAACTCAGCCTTCTAAGCAAACTCATTCGATTGCTAAGACCTGAGTCCCTCGGCCTCTCAAAAGCCACCCAGTGAGCACCCAGACTGTCTGTCTGGACACGGCAAGCACCCAGGACACCCAAACTCTATCCACCAAGGGCCAAACTACACATATTTGTTTTCTCAAGAGAAAACATCTTTTCACAGAGAATATCCTTTGACTCTGCTGGGAGACTTTGTAAGAGCTCCACAGTCTTCAGGGCTGTACCCCAGGGCCCTTTTACACATCTTACTGTGAGACGCCTTCCTAACAACTTCAAATTTGTAACCATGAGCCTCGCTCTCTTAACAACATTGAGGGTTCCCATGGACACACCTCTCGCCTCAAGCCCGGTCAGATGTGCCATTCTGAACACCCTGTACTCCCAATCTGAGTCTCCTCTGACGCATCCACTTTCTCCTCGGATCCCCGACTCTGGACTGACTCAGATTTCTCTATCCGCGCGCCGCTTCACTGCAGCACCCGCGGTCCTACAAGCCCTAAGCCTGACTCCTCTCAAACCTTTTCTTCCCTGAACCCCTTTGCCTCGACGTTACGAGTTTCCCAAGAATCCACACTCTGGGCTTCCTCAGACCCCTATGTGAGCTTCCCCGGATTCCCACCCTCAGCTCCCTCGGACCCCTATTTCCGCCCTCCGCCACCCTCAAAACTGACCGTCCACCAATGTCCCCTCCAATATCCACACTCAACACCTCTATTCCTTCCCCAGCCGCTTCCGCACCCACGTTTCTGACGTAGATGTCGTCAGACCAATGGGAACTCTCATAGGCCTTAAGGGTCCGCCTTCTACCCAATCGGCATTCTCACCCAATAGTGCCCCGCTTCTTCCATCTCGTCCAGTGATAGGCTGCGCTTCTCAGCCTCTGAGCCACTGGGACCCTTCGAATACCCGTCTACGTCTGGCACTGACCAATCAAAGCTCCAGAAACAAACCTGTCCACCCTGCAGAATGGGCCTGGATGGGAGGGGCAGCCATGCCGACCGCAGGAAGAAGACTGTTAGGACTTCCTGCAGGCTAGATGATCCTTTGCCCATGCTGCAGGGAGACGAGATTGAAGAAAGGACTTCCTCTCTCATCCTCCCCCAGCAGCGGTACAGAAGTAGGGCTGTAATTCCCCAAATACAGGCCCGACACAGAGAAACCATATAAATGTCTTTATTGAAGAGGGCAGGGGTCATGCTGAGTTCTGGGGCATGCAGTGAAGGGGCAGTCGTGAGCTGTCCTTGGTAGTGAGGCCCCCAGGTTCACACTGGACTCCCTGGGCCTTCAGGTTCTCCCTTGGCTGTTGGTCAGGCCTGGGTGCTGTAAGTCCTTTGGGGCCAATGACTCAGGTTTGGTGTTTTGGAGCTATGACCAGAATGTAAATTGAAATGGGAGCTCCAGGATTTGGGGTCCCCTGAAGGCCTTGGGGTCCTTCATGTATTAAGACACGGAGGCTTTAGGGTTTGGGGTTCCGTTAAAGCTGGGGCTCTTAGAATTTGAGTGTCTTGAGATCCATGACTTAGGGCATTGAGGTCCTCCAGTTTTCAGGGATGAGCATGACTGTTTGGGGTCTCCCGGTGCCTGTGAATAGGGCTTAAGGTGCTACGGGAGCCTGGGATGCACACCCTGGCTGCAGTTTCCTCCATTCCAGGCACAAGGACCTCCACAACTGGGGTTTTGTGGGGGCTTGGGGTTGGATTTTTAAATTGGGGATTCCCTGGGGATTTGAGATTCGATGGTTTGGGGGTCCTGGGAATTAGGGCCTTAGGATCTTCTAGGGGCCATAGGACTTGAGGGCACAGGGGAGTTTGGGATGTGTATCCTGGGGTTTGGGATCCCCAGTCTCAGAATGGGGGCTCCAAATTTTGGGGTCCCCTAAAGGGGGCAGCTATTACTTTAAAAATAGAGAATTTTCTGGAAACCTGGCCAGCACAGAGGCTTTGGGCCATGTTGGGTGGGCTTCATACAAGGCACTGGGGGTTTCTTGAGGGTGCAGAGGGTAGGAATACCTGTGGGGAGGGGTCCTGTAATTAGCACTTCCAGGACTATTTTGGTTTCTGTAAATTGGGAGTGACAGTGGTCTGCTTTATGTCTCTTTTTGAAGGGTAAAAGCAGGGGCCTTTGTTAATGGAGGAGGGGTCTGTGATTGCAGTGTAAGGGTTTGGGGTAACAATGGGGGATCATATCCTGAGGGGACTGATGTTAAATGTAGGATAGTGACAAAGGTCTGTTACTGTAGCTCTGAAGGTGTGACCTGTGTTTATTTCAAGGGGACTTGATAGGAAAGGGTCTTTTTTAATGGGGGAGGGAGCTGTGATAACTGACTCAGGAATATTCTGCTGTGGAGCATTATGTGGAGAAGGTCGCCTTTTAGGGTGATGTGGAAATCTGTTATTGGGGGCTCTGCTCTGAGGGGTTGAGGATACGGACTAGCCTGAAGGAGCTACACTCAGGGAATCTCTTTCTGGGTAATACGGGGTCTGTATTTCGGAGGTTATCATGGGGGAATCTGATAATAACGGGGCCTCAGTGATCAAGGGCTGGCTAATGGGGGTCTCTATTCTGAATGTGTTATTGGGAATATCTATCTCAGGGTGACTTGGGGGGCTCCTTGTGTCAAGAGATTCTATAGGGGCCTGTCTCTTTGTTGGGTGTCCAGGGCCTCTAAGACTGCATCTCTGCCCTCAGCATCCAGGGAAACCAGCAGCAGAAGAGCAATCTGGAAAGAAGAACCATGTGTCATCCCCTGAAGCAGGGGTGGGAACATCTGGATCTATCTCCCTCAGCTCTCCTCTAAGTATTTGGAATTTGGCCTTGCTGGATTCTGCCTCTATCTCTTTGTGCCTTCTTAGGTTGCTGTGGAGGAGGATATTTTGCCTCTTCTACCTTCCCCTTAAAGTTGAAGTCTCTAGAATTCAGTGCAGGGCCTCACTTCCTAAAGACTGTTTTTGGGTAAGCTGACTAGTCACAAGCTTTCCTAACCTCTATTTCTAGCCCCAACCAGAGCTCCAGACCCTTGTCCAATGGCCTGGCTACACACCTGGAGATCGAGTTCTCTGATGCGATGTCCTTTGGGGTCCGGACTGTCGTGAAGGTGCGTTTGGGCTGCATCACTGAAGGGGAGGGCAAGGTCTCAGGTGTGGGGATAATAGACCCACCTGTGCCCGCGAAACCCACCCAGACTCCTGGATCCCACATTCCCCATACCCATCTGAACCTCTTTTGTCAATAGTATTCTCCGTGTCTTCCAACAACTACCCATGTTCCAACTGCCTGCCCAGAGTCTTGTCATTAACATCCCCATATCCCATAGCAATTATCCTCTTGGGGAGACTATTTCATCATTTTTCTGGTCCCTGTGTTCCCAGTTAAATCCTGGAGATTCTGCCACTAGCATGACCCTTCCTCCTATCCTATCTCCAAACCCTCCTCCTCACACTCTAGCCCCCAACTCACTTGTCACTTGATGCACTTTTTTGGCTCCCACATTGTCCCCAGGAGGGTCAGTGGATCCACCAATCCTGGGGAGACACAAGGAGTGGGAGGAGTCAGAGCCACAGAAGCCAGGGTCTGACCTAGAGATGGGGGCCAGGTGGCCCACGCAGAAAGAGCTTGGGTGTGGGCATGGGCATCCACACTGTCCTACTGGTCCAAGACAAGGAGGCTTCTGAGAGGAATTGGGGTTCTCAGTGGTGCCTTGGGTTAAGGTTAGAGCTTGGGCTCACCTCTGAATTCGGGATGCTGGTGCAAAGACTCCATGCCTTGGGGGGCAGGTGAAGTACCGGACACCAAAGACAGAGCCATCATGCTTGCCCGTAGGCTGGTCTAGCTCAATGCCATACCAGTAACCTGAAGCAGAAGAGTGTCAGGATACCTCGAGGCCCTGCCTGCCCAGCAACCCAGATCCCCATTCTCACCTGGGGCAAAGTCGGTCTTCCCATAGAAGCGTACAACCCCTTGCTTCTGGCCTGCTACAAGGACTTGGTCTCCAACCTCAGCCTTGGCTCCCTCACGCTGCTGCAAGCTGCCCAGAGATGGGGATGACGGGGGCTTCTTCTTGCCTAGGGGTGGATGCAAGGGTAGGTGGGGTTCCCAGACACCAGCCCTGAGGGATCATGCCACCAGAAAGCCCCAAGGCAGGAATTCTGTCCTAGCTCCAGAGAAACTCCAGAGCCTTCCCCAGAACTGCAGGACTTTGGGTGTGGAGGGAAACAATCCCAGCTGAGTTAAGAACTGGGAACTGAGTTAAGAACAAAATCCTTTCTCAAACCGGAGGATATTTGGGCCAAAGGAAAAAATGAGTCACAGAAGTCAGGAACCCAGAAATTGTCCTTTTAAAATACAGGAGGGAGCTGGGTCTAGGGACACTGGATATTCAAGTCAGTAAAGCCAGTAACCCCATAGATTATTCCCTAAAACTGGGGAAAAACTTTTGGGCCTAAAGGTATAGAAGGTAGGGAACCCACAGGTCCGTCCAAAAACTGGGTGGGGCCATTACTAAGTCAAAGGAGAAACCGAGTTAAAGAAGTCAAGACTAAAGGTCATCCTCTAAAACTAGAGGGTTTGGGCCTGGAGAGAACCTGAGCCACAGAAGCTGGCCTAGCCACAAATTTCCCCCAAGACTGGCTCTCCTCACCCGCAGGGCTCCCCCTCTGACCTTTGTGTTCCCTGCGGCCTTTGCCAGTGACACGGGAGAAATCCATCCGGGGAGTACGAGGTGTGGAGGTGACAGATGAAGGGGGTGCGTCCACCGCCTTGGAGATCTTGGACACAGAGGCAAAGAGACCTGGGGGGACAGAGCCTGGGCTGGGAGTTGTTCATGTCTCTGCCCCACCATCATCCCCCAAGCCTCATTACCCAGTTGGCAACATCAGAACTACTCATTGGACCTCACCCACCACTCCTTTTGGGCCCCTGGTGGGACTGACCCTGCTTGGGAGGGCAGATGAAGTACCGGACACCACCAACACTGCCATCGTTCTTGCCCTCAGGTTCATCCAGCTCCACGCCCACCCACTGGCCACTGGCAAACTCCGTGGTCCCACAGAACCGCAGTGTGCCCGTCTGAGGAAACAAGGGAGGATATGATTTGGGGCAGCCATGCTAGATCACTGGCACACAGGCATCATGGTGAGGTAGATGGAGCCCCAGGCTCAAATCTCAGCTTGGACATCACCATTTACTGGCCATATGACTTAACCTCACTGTGTCTCAATGTCTTCCTCTACAAAGTAGGAATAGAAATTGTGCCCACCTTACAGGATTGTTATAGGACTGCTCTGTCCAGTGCAATATATATAGCCAGTGAAAAATAGCCACTAGCCAAAATACAACAATTTAAGTAAAATTAAAATTTCATTTCCCCATCACACTGGCCACATTTCAAGTGCTTAATAGCCACATATGGCTTGTGGCTACTCCATTGGACAGAGTAGACACACAACACTTTTTTTTTTTTTTTAATCACAGAAAGGTCTATTGGAGAACGCTGGTATAGAAAAATGAAAGCCCTCAGAACAGGCTGGGTGCTGAGTAAGGGGTTAAGTGTTGACTACTATTATCCTGTAACTTTGATCTGGGGACCTCCCAGACCAGTTTCATCTGGAAAATTGGGATAACAGTCCACCTCCTAGGCTGATCGTCTGGTTGAAACATTTTTTACATAAAGTTGCTTAGCTGCAATGAGTGTGTTTATTGCCACTGTGTGCAGCTCTTTCACCTAAATCTCAGCTTCTT